ACTGTGGTAGACTGGGACACCGGGGGTTTCGGAAAAGGGGGCCCAGCGCAGGTGTGTCTGCACACAGCCCAGTCTGGCTCCTCAGCGCCACCCCACAGCATACACAGCCGTCTCCTGCTACCCCACCTCGTCCCATCTGTAGCACATTTGATAGATTTTATCCTCAAGGTCGTCTCCCTGTCTGAGCACAAATCCCCAGTCCGAGGCCCAGTGTACCCACAAACAAATGAGAGTGGCATCTGAGCCAACTGCAACTTCCTGTCGCATTTACTTCTAGATCTGAAGGAAAAAATCACCAGTTTGTGAAACAGCGTCTTTTTCCTACGAGTTACAGAGGAAGGCTAACGTTTTCGTTTTGTGTAAACTTGGTACCATCGAATGTTGGTGTATAAAAGGCCCCGAAGTTCATAGAATAGTTTTACTGGTGTTTATAAGTTTATATAAGTTCATGTAATGTTCCGTCTTCTGTCAGTTTGGGCCAGCCCACCTTCTAGTGACATCATCCGGTTAGTAAGGTGGGCAGTTTAATGGCGGCTGGGCAGTGTTGGTCCGGAGGGGGTGCACTGATTCCTGGGGCATGTTAGGTGTGCGTAAATGACAAGTAAGTAGTGACCTTGCCTATCTTTGATATCTCCACTACAGTTGGAAACAAAAAACTAAACTTGTTTTTGTTCTTTTACACTTTATGCTACTTTCCAAGGCTGATCCCCCCCCGAAATATGACTGACCCAATGCTAGCGTAGCTGTAGCTAGCATTGGGACTGGATGGACCAGGAATACTTGAATACTTTAGAGTAATATTTTACTTTCTACTCCACCATATTTATTATTTATTACTGTAAAGCTTTAGTTACTCATTATTTTTCAGACACAGTACATTGTTAGATCCTTTTATCCTTACATAGCAATACGTAAACAGTTCATGCGAATCATAAGTCAAAATTTCGAGCCTTTGTTATTTATGTGTGGGTTTCTGCTTTTTAACACGTGTCTGTGTTGATATTGTGTCTAAATTGTGTACATTTGGTACGTTCAGCTTCATTTTCTGGTCTGGAGGTTGACGCTTTGGTCCACCGGTTGACTTGTTAGCTTACTTTAGCTTGCAGACTGGACAAAGTGGGAAACGACTAGCTTAGTGAAGATAACAAACCTGCTGTGTTTACACTTTGGTTCAAAATGAATGAATAAATGAGAGACGTGTTAATAAATAAGCTTTAAGTTAAGCTAGCAGTTTCCCTTTGTGATTTGGTTTTTTTGCTAGGCTAATCTAAAGTAGTCCCCTATTAATTTGTATTAGTTCATCTCTTTGTTTTGGCAGGTTGATAATAATCTCTCTCCCTGGATAGTTAACAATGAAATCTGCTGTTTTGTGGCCAACAAGCTTGTCTTGCCTGCTTCAAGCCTCAAAGCCACCAGTAATACCAGCAGCCGCACTCCCACTGGGAGATCCTGAATCACTAAAAGGTGAAGGAGCAAAGAAACAAGAAATTAAGCCTCCCAGCAGCAGCACTACCTGAGCTCCTTACATCAAAGGCTGAAACCAGCCGGGAAGGAAAAACCTCCCTGCTCAGCGCTGCCAGGTTCAGCGCTTTAACCCACATGTTGACGCTGGCAGCAGAGAGACGGAGGGCGATAGGTGGCTGCAGGGAAGGACGTGTGGCTGCAATTCATATGTGCATATGCACGGAAACAGACCAAAAGCAGAAAGGTTATGTCTGTCTGGGTGATCTTGTGGAACTCTTACTGTAGGTGAAAGTGTCCTTCTAGATGTTTTCTGTACTAAACCCACAACACAGCTTTGTGTGTGTGTGTGTGTGTGCGCTCGGAGAGGAACCCTCATTAGGCTGTTAAGACTGAGGAAGAGCCACAGACACAACACAACCACACAGTCAGACGGGTGCTGCCGAGGGAAACAGTAACGGCAAAATGAAAGCACACAAACTTCCAGACACCTGTGTAGACGAGAGATTATGAGATTGTAATCAGCGCGCCTCACATCAGAAGACACGGTGTGGAAAAGAAAAGTTGTTCTACAAAAGTGCACGTTTACCAAATTCAGGCTTTTTGACAGATTTGTTTCGTGCAACTTGTTTTTCTGCCACAGAACGATGAAAACTACTGTCATGGTTTTAACACCAGCCTTTATCAACACTCACACAGGCTTCCCATGTCTGATCTGAGAAATACATAAAACTAAATTAAAGCTAATAGCTGGGAAATGAAACCATAAAAACAAACAATCACTAAAAAACACATTGAAGGGCTTTATTGACTGGTGGAGATTCCGCTATAAAATGTATAAATTCTGCAGCTCCGAGGCCTGGAGCTGAGTGTGTGTGTTCAAGGCAGTGAGTCAGTTTATAAGCTTAATAAGTGCAGCTTTCTGCGCTCCCATTAGCTCATTAACGTTACAGCACATTCAAAGCATTGGCAGAAAGAAGGAGAAGGAGGGTGGTGGTGCTGGTGGGAGGGGGGAGAAAAATCCCTCTTAACCTCTTTTGCTCCCTCAAAGGAAGTGCATGGAAAAAAGAAAAGAGAGAATGAAATAAAAAGCTCCTTCATCTCTGTAGGCAACCCAAATCCTCGCCGAGGCTGCGGCCAAAAGCCAAATTAAAAAGACCGGAGTGTTGGGATGTTTGACAGGCGCAGCCCTGAGCTGAGCGGCCGGAGGTTGTCCCGCCATTTGTCCCCGTGCTCTCCGGCTTTTAGGGGCTTCACACCAATTAAAAGAAAAACGAGCGCACACACGTTTTTCGTGTCTCCGTGAGGACTTTCGCTGACGCATTCCCAGCTAATTCCAACCTTAACCCAGAACCGAGTCACAGATATCAGTCAGCCCTTTGAAGGGTGTGAAGCTTTTGTTTGAGCTCAAGCAGCTTTCGTTTTAATTTCGGCGGCTCAGGAGTTATTGTTGGCGTCAAGGTTTATAAAGCGCTTGTAAAATATGTAATGGCCAAAATAAAAGCCACAATTCATCGGCCGTGCAACACGACAACCATACTGCAACACAAAGTAAACCTCAGATACAGATTTTGATAAGAAAACATCGTCATAGACCCACCAGCAGAGTCCAAAATCAACTGGACAGTAACACCGTCGCTGCCAGAGCGCAGCGTGATCTGTGAATCACCCTGGAAGAAATATCCAGAGAGCAGCAGCTCTGGCTGAGAATCCACACATCACAACCAGGCTGCAGGAGAGCATCTCTCATCACACGGCAAACCTTTAAGCAGATGTGCCACAGCAGCAGAAGACCACACTGGGTCCTGTCAGCTAGGAACAGGAATCTGAGCTACAGATCACAAAAACGCTTCCTGATCCGATGAGTCCTGGTTTCCGTAGCAACCTTTGGATGGTGGGGTCAGAATCTGATTAGAAAGATTGGATCCATCCTGCCTGTTTTATTGGTTCATGTCGCTGGTGATGATGTAATAATTGGGGGGGTTAAGCACCATTTACACACTACCTGACTACTGTTGGTAACCGTGTCTGTCCCTTGATGAACTCACCGGATGTCATTCCAACAGCTTAGTAGAGAACAGGAGATTTGCATCTGTGTGATGCTGTTGAGTCAACTGGTCCAAAATCTCTGAGAAATGTTTCCAGCACCTTGTTGAATCTTTGATTCAAAGCATTTCCAGGGGCACAAAGGGTCCAACACGTTACCAGCGACTAACAAAATAAAATAACGAGTAATTAAATGACTGGAGAGTTTATATCAGAAAGTAACTGCAGGGTTAGAAGCTGTGCTCACTGTCGTTTGCTTTTCTCCTTCTGCTGGAAGCTGACTGGAAACAGTCATTTGAAATGAAGTCTGAAATGCGTGACCCATTAACACCCATGAAGAAAGTAGCTTTTGCTGGTAGCGCGTGGCCATTAAATCACTCAGTGCTTCTGCAGCCGTCGATGCTTATCTGCACTTGTGAATGAACTCTGTAGAGTTTGAAAGGGAAGTATATAAATTAGCGTGAAAAGTGAAGCAGTTGTTTTGTAGCTTTTTTTAAAGGATTGCTGGTTAAGCCGCTGTAATGAGCACCCTATTAGGAAATGGCACTGAATTAAGCTAAATTTCCTAAACATGTGTGAGTGCAGGCAGTCCAACACTATTTTCAGCTCATCCCTGTGGGAAAAGACTCCAGGAAGGAACCCATTCAGCTTTCCCGGGTCAGAGGTTAAAAGCGCCCTCAACAGGCGTCACAGGAGATACATTTTCTGACTTTAGGAACTTCACACGTCTCGGTCCCTGCTGAACTTTGGTTTTCTACGTAGCCTCCGGTCTCGTTCGGCCGTCGGGGTAAAACCATAATGAACATGGGAAACCGCACCAGGGATGAAGTCATGTGCTGCCGTTTCGGTTCAAAAGCGGCACCGCACGCTCGCAGGGCTGATCACACGGCCAAGAGCATTAGCGAAGGCCTGAGAATGGAGGCGCAAACAGCTGTGATTAAACTGAGGGATGACGATCCTCTGCTGAGACACAGCCTCATTTGGTCTCCCGGTGGCCTGCATACCTTGGCTTCCAGCAGGCGAAATGCCCCCCAGGGATCCTAAAATACACAGCAGGCCAGGTCCCAGCAGCAGGCTGGGAGGGGAAGAGAGGAAGGGCTAGGGGCAGAGCTGCAGCCTCACAGACCTCAAACAAGAGTCAGGCTGACAAGAGCAACTTTAACCTGTGAGAAACGTTCAGACTTGAAGCTGCTGTCAGGCTAAATTAAGGAGGAACAAAAGCTGACAACGCACAGACTCACACACGATCGCCGTGTGCTTTCCCCTCTGCAGCCAGCGGCTCTTATTTAGCTTTACTTCATCCTTGGAGCACTCCTAAACGAGTAGCAGGTTTAATTTGGGAATCACCGCTCGCTCGGGCCACCGGGGTCACAGAGGTCATTGCGTGCGTTGATACTCCAAGCTCGTGACTGACGCACACTGGCCGTGTGATGCCACTGCATTAGTTAGCTCCACACTGACAAGGGGACGCCTTCAGGCATCAGGAAAACACACTCTGGACTCACAATGACAACGACGGAGGGAAATTAAATTATTTTATTTCTCTCTTGAATCAGATGACATTTTAGTGATACTACGCACAACACGTGAGCCGTCAAACAGGACGTGAACAAACAGGATCACCTGACGCAGGAAACCGACTATAACAGGGCTGACGACGCTGGCTCTGACCCTTAACGACGTTTAAACATTTAAGTGATAAACACCAGTGCGAGTTTACCGAGCTGCTTTCAGTGAACAGCTGGTGATGCTTTACTTTAAAGCACATCACCCTGTGGTTTGTGATTTTGGTCATCGCTACGTTGTTGTTTTTTGGACTGGAAGCCACCACATGTGAGAGCAAACTGCAGGTGAATCACAGACACAGGCCTGCAGCTGCCTGTCTCACATCCACCTTGGCCCGACTTTAAGCCTCAGCAAGGTTTAAACAAGTGAGGTAAGAAAGAAAGGAAACAGTAAAGTTGTCAAAAAGGTCAAGATGAAACTGGTTCTAGTAGCAGGCTGTTGATGTGCTTACTTCTACTGTAATGCTGCATTTTAACATGCGAGTCTGTGGGTAAATGACTCAATCTGGGAGTGGGCCTCAAGTGGCCACTGGTGGAACTGCAGTTTTTGACTCTTCTTCATTTTCAGCCCCTCAGGTCAGAACTGGATGTGTAGAAACGTGACCTAGCATAAAAATGTACAGCATGTTTCTATCTGCTTACAGCCACATCAGTGTGTTATATGATGTTTAAATCAAATATACTAAACTGGGGATTTAAGGTAAAGCATTAGCAAACGATGGCACATTTGTTACAAACTGAGTTACAGCTGACGGCGACGGTCCATGAACGCCTTTCAGTGTGCACGAGTACTAAACAGATGCTCCACCAAAGACGAGTGTGTGTTTGTAGTTTCACTTGGTGATAAAGTGCATACATGTGTTGATTGGCTCGCAGCCGTCCTGATGAGGGTTAAAATAGTTAAGGCTCAGGTCCCGCCGTCCGTGCATTAAGACTTTGCTGTTGCTCCCAGCAGATTCTGCTGTGTCAAAAAAGAGAATTCTGGCGCTTCGAGTCATGATTTAAACTTTAATGTGGAGGAGAAAGATTTCAGTTTCAAAAGTGTTAAGTGACAGTCCGTGAAACTGATTTGTTTTGGTGCTGACAGCTACTGATCTGTATCGCTGTAGCTCTACGGAGGCCTGTGAAGACTCTGCTCTTGTAAACACGGGAGCGTGTCGGGACTAAGAGTTCAGAGGATGATCACGGTCATCATCTGAGTCTGGGGAAGATTCTGATGAAGAGGATCATGCTGATAAAGGTGAAGGAGACTAGGATGAGCATCAGCCACAGCAGCCAGTTCACAGACTTCTTCGTGTGCTGCTCCAACCGCTCGGACTCCGTCTTCAGCTTCTCGAAGTTCAGGTCCGCCTGACGCATGGACTGGCTCAGAGTCTGGAGGCAGAGGGAGACGTCGCAGATATAAACATCAAAACCACAGACAAACAAGCCCGCTGACGGGAACACTCAGAGTCTTTATGCACAGTGTGGCTCCAGAGGCTGTTAGCTGGCCTATACTGCCCCCTTGTGGCCAGAATCAGTTAAACTCCTCCAAGTTTCTCAAAGAGGCAGAAATAGCTCTGGAGCACTGCTGCCCAATCCCGGTCCTCGAGAGCTACCGTCCTGCAGCTTTTAGATGCATCCCTACTCCAACACAGCTGAATCAAATGGTTTGATTACCTCTTCAGCATGCCATCGTGTTTGGCAAAGGCCTGATAACAAGCCATTCATTTGATTCAGCTGTGTTGGAGTAGGGATGCATCTAAAAGCTGCAGGATGGTAGCTCTCGAGGACTGGGATTGGGCACCTAGAGGTTGCACAACTTTTTTTCTTTCTAACAAATAAATAAATAAATAAATCTTAAAATAAATGATTTCAAAGATTTAATAAATGTAAATACTGCCAGCACGAGAGGAGGGAAAAAAGGATCTTCAATAAAAATATCACAATTAGCACTTAGTCACGTTTTTATGATGCCCTGAGTTCGTTAAGTGTGGGCTTCACTCATGGAAAACTATTTTTTTATTTAAGCTGGTTCGAGTTTTCCTGATAAGCAGTTAAAACAAGTTTTGTTATGGACCAAGTTTTTTCCAAGTTTCCATCATAAGACTCAGATTTGGGCCGGTTGGCGGCCACATCAGGTCCTTCAGCACGAATCTTCTTATTAACGTAACTAAAGGTTTGGAAAGGGCAGCTTTTAGCTTTGATCCCCAGCTGCTGAGAGACTCTGCAGGAGGACCTGGGAGCAGCTGGAAGCCCGCCTCTTTCTTCTTCAGGCTCTGGGCGTGCTCACATGAAACATCATGTGACTCCTCTGCACAAAACGATCCCTACGAGTGTTCCCTACTGCAATCAGGGAAGCTAGCGGATAATTATGATAAAAATCTATGTCAAACATTAAAAAAAAAGCCCAAAAGCTGTTCTTCTTAATAGATTTATTCTGAGTGCGCTTTTAGTGCTGCTGCTTATTTGTAGCATTACAGCTTAAACGTTGCTCCTGTCCTGCAACCTGATGCAGCAGCTGCAATTCCAGCAGCGTAAAAGAGATTCGGCAGCAGATTAGAGACAGTTTTTGGCTTAACAGCCTACCTACACAAAATGTATATGGGTACAGCAGAGGGTCTATGCTGCACTAAATGGCTGTTGTAAATAATAAGTCAGTGGAAATCTGGCCCTTCCAGCATCCTCTGCTCCCACAGAGATTTTCATCACAAGTGATCTCTGTGATTTAGTAAAAAGAAAGGTCCTTCTGACCATTAACCTCCCCTCATAGCACACCCCTCTGCTTGGGCTTTGTATACTCTGACTTCACTTTATTTGGATTTAATTTCTCACTTTTAGCTTGTATTTATATTGGGCAGGATGCATGATCACCCTGAAACAACTTGAGGAAAGTGGCCAAACCTCAGCTGATCATTCCCATATCTTTTACCGACCCAACCATCATAAAAGTTTGTTCCCAGAGTCAGAAGAGAATCAGGAAGAAAGGCTTTGAATGTGTCGCCCCCGTGTCCTACAGAAATCGACAGAAGCAGCTCAAAGTGTCAGAACTGGTCACGATCGGCGAGTTTAATATATATTTAAATGAGAACTGTGCTGGTTGTGCTTCACCTCGACACAGCTAAAGTTCCAGAATCATCTGCACATTCAGGACGCTTCTCTTTAGCCCACTGTGTGTTTTCTGCTGTTAAGTGTGGGAGCTGACTTCCTGTTTAGCTTCAGCGCCACACTGACTCACTGTTCTGACCATATGTTCCCACAGTCTTCCCATTTTGCTCCTGAGTTTAGACACAGCTGACTGGGAGCAAACAACATGTGTTGCATTTCCTTCTTGGAGGACTCGCACTGTTTCGGCTGAACGCGCTGCAGCTTGGGGGCGTGCTTTGGCTCGATTAGCCAGGTGCAAGAGCTCGTTGTGGTCTGAAAAGCGTCTATTTGAACTGCTAACTATTTTGTGTGTTTAGATTTGTGCATGCATTCGGTTTAGAGATGCAAATTAAAGGGTGAATTTTTTCAACTTCTTCATCTGGAAACAAATCTGCCATTAAACTTTTTTTTTTTCACAAACACAGACTCAAAAACAGTTTTGCATCAAATCTGTGAGTTATTTATTCCATATATCTGTCCGCTTACCTGGTTGTCTTGTTTGATGATGTTCTGCGCAGCCAAAGTGTTGTTCTTCAGATTTCTGGCCAGGTTCAGCATGTCTTCAGCCAGCTTCTCCTGCAGGTTGTGGTGATGCTGCAGGACGGCGTCCAGCTCTGCGGCAGACTGACGCTCGTCCAGAGGAAAACATCTGCGCAGAGGTGACACAGGTTGAAGCTTTTACACCCAAAAACAAGTCCAACACACGAGGTCATTTAGAAAAGCTCGACTTTACCTTCGGTTCCTCAAGTCTCCGTCTAACGTGAGAAAAGAAAAATAAAATCAAATCACCTCGTCTTAAAAACAAACAAATACAATCCTATCGAAATATAATTCGTCATATTTCCATCTGATGTTATTAAATCCAAGAGGCCGAGTACTTCGTACCTTTTCCCGACGACCCCTGCAGTGACAGAAAAGAACATTTATGAGTTCAAGACAAAATGTGGGAAACGTTTTATTTAGACGTTTCTACCACAGTGTGGTAGTTTAGTAGGCGCGCTGCAGTTCGTACAAAGAGGTCACGTCTGCAGTACGGTCAGAGCGTCCTACCGTGCTGAGCAGCTCGTCCCTCATCTCTCCCGTGCACCGCGCCTTCGTCTGCGTGTGGACTTTTTTAGTGACAGACATCCTCTCGTTGGCCATCGTGGCCGTCCGACCGGGGGCGAGGAACTGATTAGCTAGAGCTTTTTCTGTTGGCGAAGACTGAAGCAGAGCGGGAGGGACAGGAAGTCAGAAAACTCAAAGCTTCACTTCAAAATAAAGAAAACACAGTTGTGTCGTGTTAAAAACAGGAAAAACTGACCAGCTTCTCTGCTTCTAGAGTTCCTTTCAGAAAGTTGACTTTTCTCGTGTATTCAGCCAGGACCTCTGGTGTTGGTTTGCTGCAAGGACACACAACCGCTTACTGACAAAGCTTTGTGTTATTAAGCTGCAACGAGCAGATCAAACATCTGCGCTCATAACACGTAAGCCTGATGTGACCTGTTAGAAGATATACTCTTTTCCCTAAACACCAAACATGTTTAAAATAGGTTCTTAATAATATATGTACATTTCAGGCAAAAAAAGAAAACACTGAGACAGAAAAGTGGAGGCTGGTGTTACCTCGGGCTTTTCCTCAGAGCCACCAGCATCTCTTCCAGGGCGCCCACATACTGGAGGAGACCAAACAGAAACAGTGATGCTGCTCACATGCTCTCGTTTATCTCATCAATCACATCTTTATTTCAAAGTAACAAATGTTAAATAAACATCCGTATATCATAGACTACACTGGGCCAAATAACAGAGTTTAACTGACGAGGTTCTTGTAAAAGTAGGCTGAGTTTCTTACAGAGGGTGGGTCACAAAGCCACACAGAAGCCACTGAGACCAGCTTAGGATGACTGTGATGACAGCACACACTCACTGCTGCAGCTGGACACTAGTGTAGTCTTCATCGACACACACACACACAGATAATGCGGAAAAACAGCTGTGACGCTGCAGAGACGGTTCCTGAGAAAAGCAAATGACTGTGCAGTAAACAGCATCAAGTGGAGGCTCCTTAAATTTATCTTTAATAGTTCCTGTTTGTAGCAAAGCATCGTTGAGGTTACACTAACACCAGGCCTGAACACACCTTCAGTTTGCAGCTGTTAGAAAATAAGTCACGGCAAAATGCACCGTATCTCAAACTCCCACCAACGCCCAGTGGTTGCTGATCTCCACCAACCAGTCAAGCTGCAGTTTCCAGCCACGCTGGCACGGATGAGTCAAATTGTTGATTTGGTGACGTCTGCTGTCACAGCGAGTCGGCTCACTGAGAGAAACAAAACAGACTCTCACCACATCAGACCAAGTGTACATGTGGTCTAATGTAATAAGGAGGAAGCAGTGCAAGATGAACGTGTTTGACAGCTGTCAGAGTCGCACTGACTGTTCTTACTTTAGTTACTCTAACCTTTCATTTACTCTAAAAGTAAAAATCATGCAGCTGATTGGTTCATCCTGCTGGTTCAGATTAAAGGGTCTTCACTGCTCAGCTGTAGGGAGCCACTCGGGACAGCGTGACACGAGGTCACTGAGAAGAGGCGTCTTGATTTATTCAGTCCCAAGTGGCCTGGCGACGCCTGTTGTTACTCGTTTGTGTTAAAGCTACAGGTCACACGTTTAACTCAGCGACTCTTCCTTTAACCCCTTAGCAGTCCTATTAGTCCCCTAAACCATCCAATGTCCCGTGGGCGGTACGTCCGACTGCTAACAGTTTAAAGCTGCTTATCGTTCATTCTTGGGTGTAAAAAATATTTAAACCTCATAAACTAAATTAAAGCTTTCAGTGGAATTTAAACAGGCAAATGCTCTGAATTTAACCAAACACGTGTGTGTCAAAGATAAAAGCTGCACTTTGTTGTAAGACCACTTTGCACCACAAGAGGGTGCAGTGTGTCACCGTAACCTGTGTATTTTAAATCAGCAGTCCCCTACCCCCGGGCCTCGGACCGGTACCGGTCCGTGAGTCGTTTGGTGCCGGGCCGCGAGAGTTGAGGCTCAGGTGTGAAATGTGTGGTTTTCAGGGTTTTTATCGTTAACTCGGTATTCCTGGTCACGTGTGTTATGAATAAATCTTCTTTTTTTCGGTACCGGTACTAGTTTTATTTTGTTGTATTTATCCGCGACACCTTAAAGGCCGGTCCGTGAAAATATTGTCGGGCATAAACCGGTCCGTGGCGCAAAAAAGGTTGGAGACCGCTGTTTTATATGACAGCCTGGCAAAAGACGAGATCTCACGAGGCTCTTTACTAAAAAGAAAACTGCTAGCAGTGCTGCCCCCTGGTGGTCAAAGTTTTAGTAACAAAAGTTAGCCGTAATTTCCCATCACCGAACAACCACAATCGTCCATGAAAACGGTGGTACAAATCTCTACGTTACAGAAGTGTCACATCACGACATCGATCATATAGCAACTCTATGCATTCATGTTTCCTAGCACACAAGCCGCACAGAGAGCCGCGTAATTAATTGAAAATAAATCAAAACTGATGTTCTGAACTCTCAACAGATGTGATCTGGTCCATGTCATCTTTGTTTTAAATTTAAATTCTGTTAACATTTCACCCAATGAGAGTTCACACAGTAACGTGTCTCCATGACATGAAGCATGATGTAAAAAGACCTCAACACAGTTTCAGCGTCCAAACGTAACAGCACCAATCTGTTTCAACAGCTGGAGCACAATCACAATATCGCAGCTTTACAGCCGAGCGCATTTACAGGTCAAACCCTGCCAGCAAACTGTCGGGGCAAGAACAAGTACATAAAGGAAACTCCTTCGTTAATGTTAATCGAGGTAAAATGTTCAATTGTTTTGATTTGAGGCCCCGCCCAAGCATATCTGAGTACGAGAGCAGTGTGAGGACTTAATGAGGGAGCTACTCAACAACCTCACTGCGCTGCAAAATATGAAAGAGCTGTTCCTGATGAAAATGGCAACAACAAACATGTTTCACCACTAGAGGAACAAATACTCCGAAGGAGGAGACGCCAGGAGCTGGTGTCTCGGGTTGGAATCCAGTGTGGGGCCTTTCTGTGTGGAGTTTACACAGCACAAAGACATGCATCTGTGGTTAACTGATGATTCTAAATCGGGCCAGTCCCCTCACCCATCGGCTCTAAGATCTCCACTGCCTACTGGTTAAGACTCAGAGATCAGATTAGTTAGACAGGGAGTCGATCCAGACTTCCTGTACTGGGGGTGCTGGTTCCACAGATCAACAGTGTGGGTGTGAGTGGTTATCTGTCTCTCCATGTAAGCCCTGTGACACACCTCACCTGGCCAGGATGTACCCTCCCCCTCATCCTTTGACAGTTAAGGTTAGCCCCCCCCCCCCTGAGGAATATTGATGGATTGTGCAGATACTTAAGAATTACAAGTTTAAGTTACTTTAGTTTAACAAAAACTAAAACTACACTTCCAGAGAAAACTCGACCCAGAGTATCTCACTGCAACTCTGCGGCTTTCAAAGGAGGAAAGGAGGTCATTTATGTGAAAAGGGAAAGTCCATCTCTGAACCGAGGAGGGGGCCTAAGAGCACGTCTTTCACTTTCTTACAATGCTGTGATTGCAGCCATTCCCCTGTGACCTCTGAATGGTTCTCATGCCCACCATCAATGAGTATGACAACAGTATATTGAAGATCATGAAACTCGGCTGGTGCTAGTTTTGGCCGATATGCAAATGTTTAAAAGGCTGGGAAACTGCAGTGAGCTGAGAATGAGGAAGTCACAGGTGAGTGATGAAATGTTTCTCCCACTGAAAACAAACAGATGAACAGAAACAGCTCTCTGGGACTAGCTAGAGCACCTGTGTGCTTACATTTGACTTTTGCTGTGTCACTGCTGCTTAATAAGAGTCACACTTTAAGGTCACCAGCTCACTGGAAAAGAAAGGATGGCTGGATGGATGTCCTTCACCCAACACGATGCGCACTATTTTCCATAGCATAATAACTATTGTCGCAAATATTTCTCTGAAATATCGCGATGTAATTTAGAGGCTGCATCACACCCCGCTGGTGCGCACAAGCTGAGTCTGCAGCTCCTGACTAGGTTAACTGTCTATGAGGCAGCAGGGGTTGGACGGCTGGAGGAAAACTCGGGTTGTAGCTGATTCTCAGCCGATCGTTCTTATTAAAAAAAGAAGAAGCTATAAATAAATACAGTTACTGTTAAAGATATGAACATATGGAGGATCTTCTGTGAGGAACATGGGTGAAAGGAAAGCTTCGGAAACGAGATTAAACACTAAAATACAGCAAATCTGCTGCAGCAGACTCGCCGTGTGTCGCTACAGTGACATCTCGGCTGTGATTGAACCTGTGCCTGAGGGGCGAACAGCTTAAATGTGCCTCCCGACAAAAACAGAAAGAGGTTTGCGCGACGACGTGGCTAACAGCGGCTCACAACAACAACAGTCAGGCTAACGTCATCACGACACGGTCGTTACAGCCGCTCCGAGCCGTGCCGGGTTACCTTTTCAAGCCTCCACTCCGTCTCTCCCCGTTTCTCCGACGCCAAAGACTCACAGCGAGACAATAACCTGATGAAATTGATTTCTAGTCTGGAAGCCATGTTTGGTTTGAAGCCGACACAGCGGCGCAGCAGTTTGACGTCAAGCAGAGCGGCGCAGACGTTATGGGCGGAGCGTCGCCCCGCCTCTTTTTCTACGTTGTCATTGAAACTTTTAATTTAAAAAGCTAGACTTATTATTATTATTATTATTATTATTATTATTATTATTATTATTATTATTATTATTATTAATAATAATAATAATCTCGTTAGATCCCAAAGTTTTATCTTAATCTATTTCTCTCTATTCGGGAGAAATAAAATAATAAAATAAATATAAAACACATCATTCTGGCACCAAAACCACAACATGTCTGTATGTAGTACTTTTTTATTTATGTATGTTTTGTATGTGTTCATATACAGTTCTTAAAAAAAATACTGCCATAAAAACACTAAAAGAAAACTAAAAGTTAAAAATATTGTTTTTAAATTTTATTTATTGGGCAAATAAAACACTAAATTCACTTTTTTATACCCCAATTTGAGGCGCCATACTGGACTTCTCTGAGAGTCAAGCACAACGATATTTTCTTTTACGCAATGCCATTAAATAATAATAATAAATAATAATAATAATAATAATAATGTGCTTTCCTATTTTTTCTGCTTTTTTGTAAAAGATTACATAAATAAAATTAAAAATATGATTTTTGACTGACAAGCTTGGACAAACTGGCGTCTCAGTCGTTACAGAAACAGAAAATGAGTTTGATATTTTCAGTACTGTTAATTTATGGTAATTGTGGCATAAACATTACACTGGGTGGTGGCCTGATAGTTTATCAAGTATCCATGTATGCCTATATTGACTGTATTGATTACGTTTTGTTTTATAATACATGGGTTATTTTGCTGTACGGTATCTATGACACTCAAACTGCTTTACATGTAAACAGATGGAATGAAAGATTAGCACTGGATATAAAGTCATGTTGTGCTTATCACTACACTACAGTGCGTAAAGTATAATAGCCCATTTAGTACACGGTCTGCATCACTCAGGGCACTCAGTGTTTAGACCTTTTCTTATGGCCTACATCATCTACAGCTTCTAGAATCATAACTATTTTTGCAACGTGGAGCACCGATTGGAGACAGTTGACTGAATCTTCTCACCAAAGTTTTAATCTGTAGCCGGAAACTTCTGCACCACCAACGGGCTGAAGTTGGAGCTGCGTTTTCCAGATATGAGGCATCTGTGGATCAAGTCCAAGAAGGAGGTCATCCGGCAGGTCACATGACACAGCCTGTTCAAATCTTCAGAGCAACAATTTTAGTCTTCATGTCAAAAAATAGTCCCAGTCTGTTCAGGCCTTGAACGCTTCAGGACTTTGTTTGCACCTGTTAGGTGGGATAAACACTTTTTAATGATTTGTTAACCTAGTACCCCACATACCTATCACTGCAGCGCCCTTCCACCTGAGCATGCCCAGCTGTGTGGGTGGTGCAGAGAGGAGAATAATCATCTATCAGACTCACGTATCCCAACCCGCATGGAGGTACGTGAAACTACATAAACTTTAATTTGCTTAACAGTGGATGGTGTGCGAGGCTGGTAAATCACCCACGACCAGGAAGGAAAATGCTGACCACAGCTCAGGGCGTAAAAACGGCAAAAATAAATGTAACCACTTCAAGGGGCGCTTGCGTGACACTGTTAAAACTCATGTTGGTGTAATTTCCTGTGCGCGGCTCTGGTGCAGCTTTATGAAGTCTGAAGAAATGACTCGTATGACATCACTTGAAAAACAGATCTTGCATTGTGGCAGCTGATCCTGAACTGTGGAGCCTTTGTGTGCTCAAGGTGCATTAATTCCACTCCACACAAAATCAAAAGCAGCGAGGTCTGTGCAGACGGCTGCAGTTTACTGTGACAAAGAAGCGGCTCATTTAAGAAGACCTGACCCGAGTTGTAATGACTGTTTAAGGCAGGAATGGCTCCGTGAGACTGTAAAATTATACCCACCTCTGGGAGTTTTAGCCATCTTAAAGCAAAATGTTAAACACACACACTCCGGCCACTTTATTAGGTACACCTGTTCACCTAGTGGTTAATGCAAATATCAAATCAGCCGAGTCAGTGCTTTTAAACACGCAGATATAATCAAGACGACCTGCTGAAGCTCAAAATGAGCAAGAAAGGGGATTTAAGTGATACTGAACAGGGCTGGTTGTTGGTGTGAGGATTTCAAAGACTGCTGATCTGCTGGGATTGTCCCACACAACCATCTCTGGGGATTACAGATAAAGATCCAAATAAGAGCAAATATCCAGCAAGCGGCAGTTTGATGCTAAAGATCAGAGGCTGGCCCGACGGCTTGGAGCTTATAGGAGTGCAGAAGATCATCTCTGAACATGTTAAACCCTGAAGCAGATGAGCTACACCAGCAGGAGACCACACCAGGTGGTCTGTACCCAGTACTAGCAACATGTACCTAATGTAATGCCATGATGTGCAGTATTTCTAGTTTCATGTTACTCCATATTGTCTGTACTGAAGGTCCAAGTCAACCTATGAACCTAATTTGGAGCAGACTAACTCCTGGAGAGTTTATAAACGTCCTACAGATTTATTTTAATAACTCTTGTTTATCACCAGCTTCTGTTTCCAGCGTAAAAGAAAATCGTTCTAATTGTGCGTGATGGAAACACAGAGCAGCGCACGTTACAAGCATCATGTACTGTATTTTCATGTTAATACTAAGAAACATTACAGCTCATTCAGTCAAAGTCACCATGCACTCTGTTACACATCAGAACATCTTCCTCATAATCCAGACGAACTAACATCATCATACATCATCATCATCAGCAGTCAGAGAGGAACATTAGTATTACATCTCATACAAAGTTGGCCGGAGCTGTGCTTCAGCAGACTTTTCTAATAATGGGACCGAGTGATTTTAGAGGAGGGGAAGTTCAAGGACACGCGGTGGCACCGCTCTTGGATCGTGGCTGGGTTTGTGTGGGTTTCCGTGGAGAAAGTGGCGTGTGCTGCTCCCGTTCCCTTTGCTGCGTGAATGCAATGACTTCCTATTTGGTGTGTGTTGTGCGGCGGGTAAAACATGAAGGCGAACAGAGAATGCTGTGTGTGTGCAACAGTCACAATGTGCAGGTTTAGGTCCTTGTTTTCCACGACAAACACATCCCTCCCTCTGCGAGCACCGTTCCATCATCGTGACATGAGAATGAGCTTTTTAACAAGTCAATGTACAACATCAAGGCACTAGCTAACGTTTCAGCGAGCGGGTTTCACTCACTGGGAGAACTAAGAAATGAAAAGTGCGACTGAAACCTGCAATATTTTCTTGAATTAGCACAAATTAATAAAAAAATCATTATGAGGCTACGGGAGGAAACTGCCTCTGGTCCCACTGAAGTAATCAACAGTGAGGACAACATATTAAAAAGATTGAAAAGGTGCTTGGCAACATGTGGTCCAGTCCTTTTGACTAACGACACGTTAGTTCCCTCAGACAGCAGCAGCTGCAGTTTGTGCGAGCTGGGTTCATGCATGTGGAGCCGCAGCAGCTGCGCCTGCGTCGCGTCTCTCCTTTCCTTTACACACATCAAGTTCCAGCCTGTCCGAGCGCTCTGCTGCGTCGAATCCGAGAGCGTTTGAATTCCTTTTGTTTGTCTGCTTGCGGGTCGCCGTCCTTAATCCTCTTCACCGTTCCAGTCGCTTGTGCTCCTCCCCGCTCAGACTTCATCATCCATGTACGGGATGTCCGGGTCAGAAAACCGTCTGTGGACGTTTGAGACTTTCGTGTCGCTGTGCTGGAGCTGAGGAGTGGGCGCAGCCGTGGAGACGGAAGAAGAGGAAGAGGCGGCTGAAGGAGGACAGGAAGAAAAACGCAGCAGCAAGTCGCACTCTGACCCGTCGAGGTAAAGGGACTGGGTGCTGTCTTTACGGCGGCCGGGCTGCTCTCGTCTCTTGACCGAGAAGGCGGGCGCTCGGCTTCCGGGAGGGGCGTGAGACTGAGGTGGACTCGAGGTTGGCGCCTGGGAGCAGACTCCCTGCGGGAGTTTAACCGTGTTTGGGATGATGGGGTTGCGACGCTGAAGCGGATGCCTGAAGGAGGTGTTGGAGGATTCAGAAGTTGAAGAAGTGCAGCTGGCCAAAGAAGAGGTGGAGCTAGCAGGGGTGAGGGTCGACACAGAGATGCGTCCACTGGGGACTTTAGGCCTCTGGGTCAGATCTGAAGGTTTGGGAAGACAAAGCGGTTTGGATCTCCTCAGCTGATGAGCACCGCGTCCTGGAAGAGAAGAGGATAGAGGAAGGATGAGGAATATTTAACCAAGAGGCTCACAGCAGAGTGAAAGGCAAAAGGAAGATCATGCAACCACGTTAGGCAAGAAGAAAAATCAAAATGCACCCAGTGAGTTACAATTACAAGCATCTGATCTGATGTGGACGCCAAATGTTCAGCAAATCAACTTTGGGTGAAACGTGAGCATGCAGCTGTGCCACACATGCATTTACATGCACACAAACACACAAAAACACGGTTGCCGTTCCTCCGACCTGCTTTGCTACAGAGCAGACGTCACCGCCCACCTTCACCATCACTGGTCCAGACCTGTGCCACAAAAGACAGGAAGGGCCCCGCCCAGCAGGCCCCGCGGTCTGGTCAGAAACCCGCAGGAGACAGAAACAGGTAGGAAGTCCAGACTGTACCTTACTACTGACCTTCAGGCTCCGAGCTGTGAGCCGAGCGCTGCTGCTCGTCCAAGAGGCTCTCAGAGCTCAGCGAGGCTTCGGAGTCGAGATTCTCCTGGTCTGAACCAGGCTGCTCCATCTCTGGCAGGCGACAGGCAAGATCCTCTCTGAAGGTGAGATGAAGAGGAAATCACATGCATTAGGAACTGGACGATGAAGACAGCACACCTGAGGAACTGAAAAGTGCTGAGAGCGCAATCTTACTTCTCCTGTTTGATGGACTTGATACGTTCCATCAGGTTCTTCTCGGCCTCCGTGTCCGAATCCAGAGGCTCGTTCTCGGGGACCACGCTCAGATCCGTGCTGACCTTCTCGTGCATCTGCACAAGACAGAGGATCACA